GGCGCATGTTACCGCTTGAATGGCGGAACAGCTGTCTGGTAATATCTTTTTTTACGTCGCCGCCTGTATTGTCTACTCATGCAAATCGTTGTACAAGCTCCGAGCTTTGGTAATTTTATTTTAAGACGCTGCAATAAGCTCGATAGTCTTAGGTAACATGGGCCGGAAAGGAGACAATGCTGAGATATCATATAAAAATTATTATACATAAATTTTTTTATTTATTTGTGTATTTCACATTATTACTTTTTTCAATATATGAATCAGATAACTTTCAAAAAAAGATCTCTATATCCGCGCTTTACATTAATAAAATACGAATAAGTCATATCTCATATGATATTTCAATCTTTTAGATGAAATTATACTCGCAGAACGATATATACGCGATTCTTGTGAAGATAAAGAATATCTTTGCCGGATGAAATTTCAGATAAGACATTGCTCTCGAGGTCAATCGGCAATGGTGGATCGTTGGAAGACAAGAGGATGACAAGAAAAGGTTTCAGCACCTCTGTCTTTCCGCGCTTGTTTTTTTCTTCGGTCGTCTTTGCTAAAGAAATAAGCCTGTAAATTTTACGAAATTCCGAGAAGGCGAGTCTCGCTACGATCGCTATAAATCCAGCTCCCGTCGCGACTCGACGGGGGGTTGCGTTACGGCACCCCCTTTCTACAACCCCACTTAGCGATTAACCCATGACACAAAGCGAGTTAAATATTTACTTTAATCGGCGCTAATCAGCTGTAAAAGGATTTCCTAATCTACGTCCATAATCCACGGCGATTTATTGCGATAATAAAACTCACGACAAATTAATTATTCCTACATCTGTCCTCGCAAAGACAGATTTACCTATCCAATAATAAGAATTTATCTTTCTGGTAGCGCCTTACAAATTATAAATATTAAAGCATTCATTAGATTAAAAAGCATTATACGAGAAATGAAACTAAAATGCAATTAATAAAGAGGATATTGCGAGGGTCGGCGCCAGTGACGAAGGGAGAACTTTATAGTTTTCTCTTAATTAGGTCGTGTCAACCTTGGCTACGCGAACGTGAATCTTCTCTTCGTGACCTGCATATGCTACTTTGGATTGCCTCACGAATTTACTCGAGAAGGAAGGAAGGACACACTGGGACGTGTTCTTCCTTCCAGCATCAAAAGCCTCCTTCAAAGTGCAAAGAGAGATCTGGCGAGGGAAAAGGATTGCTTTGGGATTCTTCCAAGTTAATATTCATTCATCTCTATTTCTTAAAATAGAAAGTATATTAAAGTATATTAAAGATATTTGTTTTTCATTTTCACAAAATCAATAAAATTAAATTATACAGTTGATTTAATAATACATGATCGTGGTGAGGTGACGAGAGCGAATATGTCATCAACAAACATATCGAGAGGAGATTTATCGGATATTCAATTTTATCTTCCTGTCAGATATCCTAATTAGATTGTAGAGAGGCGTTTGTTGCTGCAAGGAGAATGCCGAGGGAGTGATAGCGGGCAAAAACGGTGAAGGAAGAATTCCATCTGTCGAACTTATAAACGATCGTCCTCCGTCCCGATTTCATTTCACGAGCCGTCGCACAACTAGACGTCTTTTCCTTCCCCGCCGCCCCTCATAATTGTCATAACTTCCTGCATTTTCTCGCCGTTATATCATCGCCCGTACATATTTCTCTCTTTCTTTACCGATTTCTCATTCGTTTTCACCGCTCGCTGCTTACAGAAGGGAGCGAGGATGACTTTCCGGCCGTGCAGGAAGGCATTAGCAATAAATTATAGAGGCACGTCGAGATGATAAAATATTCGCGCGCTCATAATACCATCGATGGCTGCAGTATTATGTCTTCAATTTCGCATAATTCGCGTAACTATTCACTCTATTTCTTAATAATATCGTGCTTAATAATATTGCGCAAGAAAGTTTTAGCAATAATATCAAGTAAATTATTTTGATTATTAAAATGCGCATATTTTAAGTATATTGCAAGAATTATTTTTATAATCACATTTACCTTTGATAATGACTTTGGTTAAAATGTTGAAGTTGCAAGAAAGAGAGATTTCCAAAGTGACATTGGATGACACGCGACGCAGCCGTGTAGAGACTATGTTTGAGCAGCCTTTTGACCCATGGCAGTCAAAGAGCGCATTTACGATCCACTGTAGCTTTAAGCACACTCGGAAATCCCCCTCGTTCATGCCGGTCTCAGAAGGCGCGTCCTCACTGAAATTCCCCATACGTCGAAGCGCCAAAACGAAATTCAGGAAACGGCGGCGCGACGCACGGGGAAGCCCATCCCCGTCGAACAAGGGGATGATCCCGGGTTAAGGTCAGACCGCGGGACCGATTCAGTGCCGTATTAGGGTAACCGGCGGCGGTTCTCTCCTTTCGGCCTCGAAGGGAGGCCTCGACGGAGAAGTGTAGACGGCGAGAAAGAGCCAGCAGAGAGGAGAAGAGAGTATTGACGTTGCGCCGCTTTTAAATATTGCATCCAAGTCACGTTCCTGGACCGTATCCTCTCGCCCCCTCTCTCCCCTCGAATCCTCGCGCACCCTCCCACGCCGCCAGTATCCCTCGCGCCTGCCGAGCATCAGGACCGAACGTCGCATAACTACCGCAAGGTTTCCAAGGAGACAAAGGAAGAAGCAACGTAGACGCGACAGCGAAGGAACGGCGACAGCGAAGAAAAAACATTCGCGAAGGCTGCTACCCGCAAGGGTAGAACGGTAGGCGTGGAGGAAAAATAATAATGCACGGGTGTACTTTCATATCTGCGCGAGACACGCGTTCCACACTTTGGAAGAATGAAAACAAGAAAAATGATAGGTACGGGGTGAAGCTGGAGAAAGGAGGGATCGCTTTTCATCGGTTTTTGTTCTCGTTTCTCTTTCTCTCTGTCTCCTTTCTGTCGCCGCTTATTCTCGGTTTCGCGCCCCGTCGTTTCGCAAATGATCTATTTACCCCAGCTTTCTCTGCGGTTTCGCGACTTGCTGCTGCTTTCTCCGACAAGAATTTTAGAGGTATGAATGGAGCGACCGAGAGGGCGACTCGAATGATTCAAAGCTAGAGAGTGAAAGAGATATGACGAATCGCGTGGTTAAAAATGTGATGGACGATCATTTGTTTACTCACGTAATGAAATGTATACGAAAATTTTATTGCATTAAAATAAGTATAATATTATTTCGTGTTAAAATTTTATCAAAAAGGAGAGAATAACGATTTGAATGAGTTGGATTTTTTTCCCTTAAATTAGGAACTTCCCCCTTTGAAAGCTCATTTTTCTAAACAGTAAATCTTGATTTATGAAAAGCTTACATTATTCTCTCTTTTCCAAGTTAGACAGATTTAAATATTAGAATAGCACGTGCTGTTAGGAAAGCCCGGAGGATTAAACGACGAAGGAAACATAACACGTGTTTCGTATCGATTTCATTGTTCGGTCCACGAACGACACACGAAATCCCAAAGCTTTAAGCGAGAGAGAACGTAAGGAAAGGAGGAAACTATGCACTGGGGTCTTTTTTCCGTCTGCCTCTCGCCCGCGATCTTTAAATATTACACGAGATTGATCTTCGGATTGAGACCTCGCGCGCGATTTATTTTCGCCCGTATCGAGTATACGCTATACTCGCGAGGACTACTGCAGGAACTTTGGCGTATCGACCTGCCGCAACGAAAATATATAAAATTTCACGTACTCCTCTCTTGACTCCGCTTAACTTCTCGTTCGTATATTTCTCGTGTACGTCTACGTCCGGTAGTTAGACGACAAGTGTCTAACTTGTCAAGGACTAATTGATAATTGCATTATAAGTGACTAATTGTGACCAGTCCTTCCACGTAGAATAGCACTTTATCTCGGTTAAAGTTAATATCCTATTTTTAGAATCTTGATGTAATTAACATAATTCTATATCTTCTATAAAAAATTATAAAACTTTAAAGAATTTCTAAAAGAAATTGACAATTAAAAGACAAAATATGAAAAATTAAAAATAAAGCCAACCTTATTTTCATATTTTCATTGTAACTTTCGAAAGTTAAGATGTATATAAATAAGGTCTTATAAATCGGAAACACATTTTTTTTTATATATAACGAGGAATGTTGGCTTTCAGCGGATGACAGTTGATTAACTCACTTGTGTTATATCCGTCATGTTTTTTTAATATCAGTGGCAGTTATAACTTTTTATACGATCGTTTCGAAAACGCGACAGAAAGAGGTAAAAAGTCAGGCAACTTTATAGGTCAGATAATGTCGGTAGGTTGTTGAGCGCGAATTCTCATCACGTAGAAAAAGAAAAAGCGTTCTGTGCTTATCAGCGGTGCGCGAGAACAATAGACGAGAATTACCTTTCGCAATAACCGGAGCACACTTATCGCTCTATAGCCAGAAAAAGATTTAAACTCGCACGGACAACTTCGAGAGAGCGTGAAGAATGTGAAACGCGTATTATTTAAAAAACGGCTCTCGATAGATTTCATAAGAATACTTGAACAAATGAATTTGCTCGTGATTGCAAAACTCAGCTTATCAAAGCAGCACAAGTCATTAAAATATTACATCAATAAGAAGAGAAAATTTATATCGTTTTGAAGTAAAATCAATCTTTATTTATTAAAATATATAAACATATAAATATTAATATATATTTATGAATACGTTGATTTGTCCTGCGTGTGCAGTCGTATCTATAGTTTCATGTAGTTCTTACGCAAAATTTGTAAGAGAACAGATTTTGTTGTGATAAAGATATGATAGAGAGGAATGACATACTACATTGTTAGATTTTGACATTACATTATATATATAGCAACACGAAAATCGAAGGGAGTGAGTTGATCGAGTTTCATCCCTCGCGAGGATACTCGTGAAAACATATCATCGATGACATCGATGACAATATTGTTCTAAGCTTCTAAATAACTTTTCTTTAGTTTAAATAGTTTAATATTAATAATATAACGACAAAAATATACTTACAACAAAAGTCCGAATTGTTTCTACCCTCGAGAACTCCCGCCGAGCGGCCTGGAGCCAGCTGGCTTCTCCCCTCTCTGTCCCTCTTTCTCTCTGTTTCTCTCACACCCCCTCGGTTCTCACTGTCCTCTCTTTGCACCTGGTTGCAACGAACCTTCCGGAACAAGGATAACGCGCGTACTGCGCCGGGGAATGAGGAGGGAAACGATATAACGCAGCGCGCCACGAAACACACACGTCACGCGAGCATGAACGGGATGGTGCGCGAGGGTGGTTAGGTTAGAAATACCATGGAGTCTAGGGGTGTACAGAGAGCGTCTAGTTCGCGTCGAGGGCGTCGCGGCGCTACCAAACGACGACGCCACCGTGTTTCTGCAACCCCTCTGCGAATCCCTCTCTTTTTCTCTCTCTCGAGCACGCGCAATCCCCATTGGTCGGTGGTAGCAGCAATCCCTTGCCCCCACCGGGTAACTTTCAGGAACGTCGAAGCTCACGTGGGTACCCCTAAACGTCATTCTTTTCTTTTGCCTCATTTTGCAGGAAATGTGAGATAAAAGATTTCAACAAAGTGAAACTACTATCTAGTTTTTTCTTGCGCTTATTCCTTCTTTCCTTTTTAAACATGGAGAATAAAAACATAAACGATAATAAAAAAGCACAAATTAGATTTTTATTTTTTAGTATATAATATTCTTTGAGTTTCTGCTAATTAAAATGTTAATCATATGTTCGTAATAAATGTAAATTAATTCAGAAATAATATAAGATAATGATGTTTTTAAATTGGCTGACATCTCATATTATAAAATAAAGCAATGGAATCCGAGCTAAGACCTGGATCAAAGGAAATACGCCGCAGAAGTTGCGTAACCATAAGCCTTTGAAGCGGCCGCGAATCTAGTCTATAAATTACGCAGACTTGTGGATTAATCAGCGTCTAGAAAGTTGCCTTAGCATCCCCTCATTGCCGTCTGGCTCGCGATGTGTACACGCATTTTCACTTTTCGCACCCAATAATTATAACAAGTTCGTTCCCGGTTTTCTCGGCGCTGTGCTTTTCTGAATAATAAATTCAACGGCGCCTGTTTGCGCAAAGTTCCTGAGCAGAATGTTCTTCAATAAAAACTTAAATATTGTGGCGTAGCGATGAATAATTATCGAGGAAATCGCCCGTTATTTACTACCAATAAGATATTACTTAGTGAATAATTAAATAAAGTGATTTATTGTATCTAGATAATAAAATTGGATTTATTTGCTGTAATATTTTTCTAATAAAATTCAATGTATTTAAACGGAAATGCTGTCGAAAGAGGAAATAATTGTATCAAACTGGTGCGATGCATTGAACGTGTAACGAATGACGGGCAAAGCGATCGGAAAATCGGAAAACTCGCGGCGGATTGGCGAGGCATTCTGCCAGGTGATCGAAGGCTCGTTAACGATCGTAATAGACAATGGCTTCAGAAAGCATGACAAGAGCCGCGTGTGTAATTGTGTACTTGCCAGAAGGGAGGGTTACAAAAGTGAACTGCTGGGTCGTGTCACGCGCTACTACGACAAGCGTACAAAAAATCAATACCAACAGGATCTGTCCTGAAATTGCTGCATCTTTTATCACGTTTTTCTTAACTGTGTCGTATGTCTCTTTTTTTTCTATCGGTATCAAGTATCTGCGATGCAAGTATCCCTGCGTTAAAAAAAGAAATTAAAATTTATATACATTGACTTGTACAGTTGTAAATTTGTTAACATAATAAATATATTATTAAGTGTAAATCCGATTGAGTAAACACGCCAGAGAATTTATTCAAACATTTTTCCAATACTTGAACGATCTATATACATTCGTCATTAGAAATTGCATTTTATTGTTTCGTTCAGCACGCTCGACAGGTTTTAAAGAGTAAACACCGGTCGATTGAGCTTGAAAATTTATTGAGATGAATCTTGCCAGATTGGACATTTAAATACACGTCGCATCGCGTTGGCGTTTCCATCGTTTCGTCCGGTCGCATCTATCCGTTTCGGCTTATTAATTATTCCACGTGACGAGTGGACCGAGCCAGGAGGAACGATTACCCGGCGGTCCATGAAAAAAGGTACAATCTTCCAAGTAATTTTGCGTAGCCGGTTTATTTATTAAAAAAGGCTGCCGGAGGCGGCTCGCCTCTTTAAATCACGCGCATCCCTGGAAGCACATTCCTCTCTCGTCTCTCTCTCTCTC